TTCGCTCTCTCTCTCTTTTTTGCCATTTGAATGAAAATAGAACCTGTTTATCTAGGAAACTTATTTCACAACCTGCAATTTGGAGATGGTACTGGGGCACAATGCTCTTTTCCTCTGCAGAGGAGTTTATTTTATTTATTTCCTCTCAATTCAGGGATTGATACAACCATCAGTTCTATTCAGATCATGGAAATCCAGCAAACAATAGATCGTCGGTTTTGCAGTAGAAGTCTCCAGTGCGGGTGGGTAAGCCCCCCCCCTGTTATCTCCCGATTGCTCCTGGAATTTACTCAGGGCTCTGGGTTTTCGAGACTGGAATGAAAGCTAAAGCTACATGGTAAAAATCAATGTGTGCTTCCTCGGCTCCTTAAGTGAAAATGCATTTGCTACGTTGTGGTGGTGGTGGACGAGGGAGTCATAAATAAAACGGTTGGTGTTAGCAAATGTCAATAAACCACGGCTGTGAAGATTGTAGTCTCCTGGTTTCATGGGCAGGTCCAAACCAAAGGCTTAGAGGGCAGGCAGCTTTGCAGAGGTTACTAGTTCATCTTATTGGCAAGAAAGGCATTATTACCGATGGCTGCAAGCTATGAATGAGCTGACATTTCTATAGTTTAATAACAAAGGATATCATTATTTTAATTGCTGGAAAGATAGAGTTTCTCTTAGCCTTTTTGGTTTAGAGGAAAAAGTCTAGGTAGTGCCGAAGTGATCAGCAAGGTCCATCTCTGGTGCGTCCCCTGCACCAAGGTAAGGATGCATCTAGAAGCACGGAGGGCAAGCTCAGAAGCTTCAGCCAACACGATATGCAAGTTGCAGGCTTTAAGAATGGAGAATTACCTTGCTTTATTTGATACGTATTTACTGGTTTAGTTAAGCCTGCTGACGTTTAAGCCTGCAGGTTAGAGGCAGGGCTCTGTGTTTTGAAATAATGTCACAAATCCTATGGATTCTCAGCCTTATGTCTTTTTCAGCCTGATAAAGCTTAGGCTTCCAGGTTGATGGTCTTGAGTTTTGAAAATAACCTGCATGGTGCTTCACAATTTGTTTATGACTTTTTCATTCATTATCTCATTGAATTCTCACAAAATCCCTTGAGGTTGGTCATCTTTATCACCATTTTGCCATGAAGGAGCCTGAGACTAATCTTGAAAAAATCAGAGAGAGGCACTGATTGGTGTGGTAGTGACATCGTGCAGGAGGGTGAGGTGATGTCGGTTCAAATCCAGTATTTCGATAAGATGTTTCTTCTCCCTGAGTATCAGTGTCTCATCTGTAAGATGAGGACACTTACTAAGGATTTGGGGTGCTGGGACGCACACTATGTCGGGAAGCACATAGTGGGAAATGAACTCCACTCACCTAATCTTTCTCCGGTGGGACAAAGCCCTCCTGATCTCCCAATTCAGATCTGTTTCTTTTGTTTCTGCTTTCTCATTCTTTTTTTTTTAAATGGAGGTACTGGGGGTTGAACCCAGGACCTCGTGCCTGCTAAGCATGCGCCCTACCACTGAGCTCTTACCCTCTCCTGCACTTTCATTTGTAACAACTCAGTTTAGTATTCATTCAAGAGAATTTAAAATGACTGACTCTTTTCCCCATTTATCTAATTTTAAGTTATTTCTCCATATAATTCAAGGAATGGCCAAGTCATAGGAACTTGGGTTAGATACCATATGCCTTTTTGCTGGAGTTTTCATTTCAATATGAATCAAAGGACCTGCCCCCACCCCCCACCTTTCCTCAAGTTTCTTTTTTTTTAAGGCAGGAGGCGGTGGGATCCCCGGGTACCGAGCT